ACGCAGTGAATATCCTGGACAGATTAAGAAGAGCGCATTTCGACGCTTCCTGCGCTGCTACTTGCCCCTCATGGAGGCGATCATCTATGCTGACGGAGATGTGCGCAGGGAGATTGAGGGCAACGACTACTATGGGGGTTACCTGGCCTCCGCATGTCGATTCATCGTATTTTCGCTTTACGGCTACCTGTGTGCTACGGTCCTGTTGACAACGTTTCCCACCAATCATGCGGGTATTTCGGGATCTAGTCAACTGGAAAGTTCTCAAGAGATGCAGGCTCGAAGCACAAAAGATGCAAAAACAGCCGCTGCGCTGATTCACATTGCCGGCGTGTATGTGCGCTTTGTTTTCATTGTTGCTGCAGTCATCTCTCGTCGCTTCCGCTGTTTTCTGGCTATGCTCATTCCGACTCTTGGTCTGACAGCGGGACAGTCCTTCCTAGCCGCAGAGCTGACGCATGTTACTGTAGCAGGACCTTTCAGGGGCATTATGAGTAATCTGCGCGCGGCCGGTGGTACCCTGACCTGTCTGATGGAGCTGTCAGGTAATGTCACACGAGACGCAACCCGTCTGCTGAAGCCTGGCATGAAACAGTTAACAGATGAGTGTACGCCGGGGGCTGAAACACCAAATGAGGACACCAAGACGACGGAAGCTCCACCGGCGAAAGGAAAAGTTAACATAACTCCGAATCCGATAATCCCTGGTGAAGACTATGAACACGAGGATATGATTGATGCGGAACATGAGCAAAGCGATGATGACGACGACGATGAAGGCCAAGGCGAAGGCGAAGAGGGAAAAGGAGGGGAAAAGAAAATGAATAAGAATAATACAATTAAGTACCCGAAACTAAAGAGCATTATGGAATTTAACAACTACTTTGTGCGCCTCATTGAGCTTACTGCCAGTCATGCGGAAAATGCCTCCAAAAAATATTTCGATTTGACCGGACCTCTGGAAGACGAGGTAGATAATTGTTTTGCGTATTTCCGAGTTAAATCCTTTCGTTTATCCATCTTTTCCAAAGTTTCATCCAGGGAATTTGATATTGGTCCTTTAACGGGAGGGATTTAGTGTTTTATGATCTAAAGCTCATTTTTGGACATTCGAAACAATGGCATAAAGCTTGTTATAGAACCTTAAGTGGTACTGAGATTACACACCATGCCTGACTCGTAAGTAGGGTTTTCGTCTGAGGCGTATCCTTACTCGCGAGGACACTTTGTTGCCCGGTTAACACATGACGTGGAACAGAATGACCACTCTTTGTTCCAACGCATCTGCATTAGAGCCCATTTCCGTTGTCGCCACCGAGTAGTCGTCTTTGGCTTACTTTGCTGACCCATTTGTAATAAACGAGGCTGCCTCAGTGGCAGTCGAACCCAAGCCAGCTAGGGGAAGGCTGTACTATAGCCAATGCTCTAGACAACCAAACGACGAGGCCCACATCGGTAGCTGCGAAGTAAATCACACTAAGGTCGGCTTACCAGCCCAGCCTACTGCAGGGTACGGAATACACCAATTCTGATACAATGTGTTGGTAGCCCAATCAAGATTGTTTGGGTAATCAATCTAGAACCCACTAGATGACTGCCATGAAAAATTAATTAGTAGGGGGTTAAGGCATTCTTCGTGAAAGTGACCTTGGAAACGTATGATAACATCGAAATGTCTACAAAAGTTCAAAAGGGTTCCTCATTGTAGAAGAAGTGACCTAACAAACGACAATTTATTTGTCCTACCGTCTCCAACTCCTCTGAACGTCTATCGTGCGTCGTGCTGGACAGTACTTGGTGCTATTTTGTGAGCAAGCTGGCCAGCTGATGGTGGAAGAGCATCCCGCGGCCATAC